TACAGTCTTCACAGAAATCCAAATCAACTGATTTTAGACCTTGAAGCTTATTTTTCAAAAGTACGAACTTCATACTATTCTTTCTCATATGGCCAAGCCCACGGTGTCACAAACCTGCATCCACCCTGATTCCAACCACATCAATGAAATCAGTCATTTCATTGATCAGATAAAGGGTGCCTTCAATGTTGCCCTAATCCATCAATAATGTTCCCTCTGGTCTCCTTCCACGAATCACCTGTGAAAGTAGTCACAAGTCCTGACTTTATCAGCTAGCTCACAGAGATAACGTTTCTCTTAAAACTAGGAACATGTCTAACTTCAGTAAGCTTCCAGATTGCTCCATTCAACAACTTTATATCAACATCACCATTTCCAACTATATTGCAGGTCTTATTATCTCTCAAATAAACCTTCTCTAAATCTGTTTGAGTGTAGTTTTAAAATACATCTTTATTGGGAAAAAGATGAAAAGAGACACCTGAATCCACTATCCAGGATTGAGTGCTAACTAGGGATAACATCAGGGGGTCATTTTAGATTTCACCTGTGGAGACATTAGTAGAGAAACTACTTTCCTGTTCTCCACCACCAGCTTTCCTTGGAGCTCTGCAGTCCTTGAAATGCCCATTCTTATCGCAATTCCAGCATTCTCCTCTATTTGACTTGGGCTTTCCTTTCTTGGACTTGGATCTGTCTCTGCTAGTATTCATGCCCAGATTCCTTCCCTTGTTATTAACATTCAACGCAGAACCCGAAGATTCATCATTTGCTGCTTTTATGCGAACTTTTTTATTCAGCATCAAACCTACGATATCATCAAAGTTCAACTTCAAAGCCCCTGACGAATTACTCACCGCCGTTACCAAACTATATCAACTTTCTGGCAATCAAGACAGTATCACCAGTGCTCTGACCTCATCATCAAACTTGATCCCTACATAACAGAACAGGCTCGTCACAGTGTTAAAGTTATTGAGATGCTCTGCCATCTTCATATTAAACAACCTCTTCATCACAAAACCTTAATAAAAATAGAAGGTTCGTACATCTTGGTCATTGCTGCCATAAGATCCACCATAGTTTCTCATTCACAATGTTGAACGCAACAAACGAGAAAAGTATAAACCTGATCAAACCTAGTGTCATTTGATTCAACACTTCCATTCCTCCATAGGCATAGACTCAGGCTTCCTTGTGATTCATTGTAATGGTAAGTACAATTGTTTCTGACACAACAAATCCTCCACCTGCATCTTCCAAAAAAAGAAGTTCGTCCCATTGAACTTCTTCACTTTGATCCTTACTTCTTTAGTCATTACTCTCACTCGAATCAAACCTCGTTGTGATACTAGTTTGTTATGAAAAACTACTGCGAAAGAGTTTCCTTTTAATTTTGCCACAGAATAGTATCACAGGATTTGAGAAAATCGAAACAAAAATTTAACACAGAAGTACAATCAAAACAACCAGAAAAACACACAAGAATTTTAGTGAAAAAACACGATAACGGGAAAAAACTACGGAGCCACACCACCATAAATTTCACTATGAAATTAAGAAAGTTTTACAAATGACACACAAGTTTCTTCTCAACACCCACATGAAGAAACTTAGAAGACTTGCACTAATAATCTTTCTTTTCAAATCCGATGCAAAAAAATTACATCGAATCACTAAAATCCACCTCTTCGACTCTCATCACATTCACCGAGATGCTCGTTGAGAAATTTAGAAGAAGAAAAAAAACAGCAAGCTCACTGATCCACCCTAAAAAATTGCCTTAAAAACTAATTTTTCATGTAGTAACCGCACTGTTCGCTTAGGCGCTCAAACTTGGCGTCTAAACGCCAAACGCTTTTTATCGACACCCCATAATGGGCGCCTAGGCGCCAATAGATGTGGGACTCTCGAGAATAAGAGTAGCGCCCGCTCTATAGGGGGTGCATATGTGTCGGCTGCATTGTTCGAGCATCACCTAAGTGGGTGGTGAAGGGCCCACAACTCAGTGCATATGCGCCTAATGCCTTGTGCTTAGACTCCACAGCCCAACAATTATTCCAAATGAAAATTTAAGTACTCAATATTGATTTATAGTTCTGGATTTTAAGATGAAGAGTTACAAGATAAAGAATACAATAAATTATTATCAGATAATTTGATACGGGCACCTAAAAGACAAGTAAAAATATTTTTAGGAGTAAACTTCAAGATTTCATAATTTGAAATGTTAATGAAGAATCTAATTCAATAAGGGATAAAGCAACAAACACAATTAAACAAGTGACAAAAGTTATACTTAGAGAATAAAAAAAATTTATAAATAAAAATAGTTAGTGTTGGACTAAGAATGTGCAAGAAAATATTAAATATAAGAAGTGTGTCATAAAAATTAATTTAAATGTAAAAGCTTAGAGAACTGGGAAAATATAAGGTGTCTTGTAGGGAGTCTAAAAGTATAATTTGTGATGCTAAAATTTTATTTTTAGTGATCTTTATAATAAATTGGATACTAAAGATGTTGAAAAATATATGTATAAAATAGTCAAACAAAGATAAAAGAAAAGTAAAAATTTAATTCAAGTAAACTATATTAAAGATGAAAATCAAAAAGTGATTTTCTTATAGGAAGATATTCAACATAGGTGAGTGAGCTATTTTGATAAACTTTTTAATGAAATTTTTAAAAATACGATCAACCATAGTGATCTTAATATCGTTAATAATAATAAAACATTTTATTTTTATCATCACATTAGTAAGAAAGAAATTGAGGATATAGAGAAAACTAATGGTAGAAAATCAGCAAGACATGAAGGTATCCCAATTGAAGTATGAAAATATTTAAGAGATTTAGGAGTTTATTGACTTACTAAACTCTTTAATATTATTTTAAAAACTAAAAAGAAGCTTGAGGAGTGGAGGAAGAATATTTTGGTCCCCATTTTTTAAGAATAAAGGGGATGCAGAAGAGTGCTCAAATTATAGAGCAATTAAGTTGATGTGTCACATTTTAAATTTATGGGAAAGAATAATTGAACATAGGTTAAGATGTGGTACAAATTTTCTCATAATCAGTTTGGATTTATGTTGGGCATGTCTATAATGGAAGCTATACATTTATTGAGAGATTTGATAGAGAAGTACAAAAAGAGTAAGAAGGATCTACATATAATTTTAATTGATTTTAAAAAAAACTTATGATAAGGTTCAAAGAGAAGTCTTTTGGAGAATTCTAGAGAAAAAATGTGTTGATATGACTTATATTCAAGTCATTAAAGATATGTATACTAGAGTTTTTACTTGAATAGGAGGATTGACCAAGTATTTTCCTATTTCAGTTCGATTACATCAAAAATTGGTTCTAAACCCATATCTTTTTGCATTAGTTATGGATGTTCTTACTGGGCATTTATAGGTGGATGTACCTTGGTGTATGATTTTCGTTGATGATATTCTTCTTATGGATAAAACTAGAGAAAGAATTCAGGAAAAACTTGAATTATGAAGGTCTAAATTGGAAAGAATTCAAGAAAAAACTTGAATTATGGAGGTCTAAATTAGAGTCTAAAGGTCTTCGTTTGAGTAGATCTAAAATTGAATACATGGACTGCAATTTTAGCAGTAGTAGCCTTAGTGGCAGCGTTGTAACTATAGGTGATCAAATCATTAAAAGGTGTGAATGTTTTAGATATCTCAGGTCTATTGTTCAAAGTTATGGTATTATAGATGGGAATGTCAATAGTAGAATTCAAGTTGGTTGGTTGAAGTGGAGGAATGCATCGGGCCTATTGTGTTAAAGAAAAGTACCACTTCGACATAAAGGAAATTTTATAAGATGGTAGTGAGACTTGCAATGCTCTATGGCATATAATGTTGGCTTTTAAAAGAGAAGCATGAAACAAGGTTAAGTGTTGCTGAAATGACAATGCTTAGGTGGATGAGTGACACTTAGAGACAAAATGTGAAATGAATATATCCATGATAGGGTGTAGCTCCAATGACGGACAAGATTAGAGAGAGTTGTCTTAAATGGTTTGGTCACATTAAACATCGATCATCTAATAATGTGATTAGGAGAGTAGATGTTTTAGATTCAACTTATGTTAAGAAAGGCAAAAAGATAGATCTAAAAAGACTTGAGTGTATCGTATAAAAATGATCTTAATCTATTAGAGTTAAATGAAAATATGACACTCAATGAGACGCAATAGAGAAAAAAAGATTCATGTAGCCGACCACTCAGTGGGATAAAGACTTGTTGTTGTATACATTTATACCACCTAATCTTTCATATCACCTCTAAAATACCACTATTAAAACTTTACATGCATAGGTAAGGTGATATGTATGTAAAAATTGAACTTCAAGTGTTAAACATGTAAATACAAAAGAATTGAGTGATATGTATATAAATCTTCCAAAGAATTATTAAGCAGTGACTTCAATGAAGAGTATTGTGAGAAAAAAAAGGAGACAAGACCAAAGAGTCTACCACCTCTATTCGCTACGACTTATTATTCACCTAGGTTGAATGTGATATAGTCAATAATAAATACCCAACTAAGCATCCTGAGGTACGCACTAATCATGCAATCATGATGGCAAGGCAACAATTTTAAATATAATATGATACATAAAGAAAACACCAATTATGTATCTAAATTCTAAAGAATTTAGTCTCTTGACTATTAACATGGGGTCATTTTAGTCTTATAATTTATAAAAGTGTCAAACTAGCCAACACACTCTTTAAATTGGAGCTGAAATAATCCTTTATTGGTACTATTTCAGCCCATCATAAAAAAATTTCAGGACTAAATTGACACTTTTATAGACTTTGGGACTAAAATGCCCCCGTGAAAATAGTCAGGGGACTATTTTGACATTTTTCTTATTGACACTTTTCTGAAATTCTCAATATATTTGAACACGGCCTTTACATGGTAAGTACTGTAAAGTCAGTGTCTAAAAACTGCAAAAAATTGTGTGTATTGTACCTTCCCTCTCAACAAGATCAGGAAATTTGATCAAATTTCCAGACTTCAAGATCATTCCAGGCCACATGTGGGCTGCAAGAGCTCCATAAAGACGCTCTACACCTTGGACATCACCATCAACTGATAAACCTGTCAGCAAATAAATATGCTTAGATCCAGGTCGCATAAGTACGGTAACCTTGTTTTCGACTATTCAAACCTTCTAAAAGTTTAAAATTTTGGCAAAGCATTATAGATTATACACGGGAATGAATGTGAAATATCTTCTATAATTGATATATTAATAAAAAAACTAGTTGAAAAAACATAATAACCAACCTTTCAAATAAGTAGTAATGATTTGTGTCTGGATTGAACAAGAGTATTTATTGGCAGGACAAAGTGCAGAATTTAAGCAGACTAAATGTCTCAGCCATATGAAAAAAAGGTTAAATTTACATAAATACCAATCAACTCTTGTGTATTTACATAGATATAGTTTAATTTTTACATATACGCCACCCTACCTATGCATGAAAAGGTGTATTTCCCTTTTTGAAAAGTAAAAATAGTGGAGCTTTTGATGTGTTATGAATGATTTCAGCAGTATAAATATTAAAAAAAAAAGTTTGGGTGTTAGATAAGTAAATACATGGGAATAGAATGGTATGTGCCCCGTCCCCAAATAAAAAAGTATTGAAAGAGGTTTGGAGACCAACATTTGTCAAAGTCCGCATTGGATGCACAAGCCTCAATATACTCTATGTTGTGCTCAATACACCACACCATACATGAATTTTTTATTTCAACAGAAAGATCTTCATTCCCCAATAGGCTGCAGCTCTCAGTTTCACTAATCCCATAATCCCAAAATTCAGGATCAGGATCGCCGGTCAACTCTCCCTGCTTCTTCTGTAAATGTCTTCTGTATTCTGTATGGGCATAATGACCAGGCACTAGGTCTGCTTTATTTCCGATGCATAATAGAATTTGAAAATTTCCAATATCAATTCCAGAAACCCAATCCTTCAGAGTAAGAAAAGAAGATTCCTGCAAATGAAAAAAAGTAATCAATGTTTTAACCCCCTTTACCTGTAAAAGTAGCATAGATTAACGAAATTACAAGTTTAAAAAAAAATAATGAGAAAAGTGTCAAAATGGTACTGACTCTCTCTCAAGAGATATTTTAATCCCAAATTTTATAAAAGTATTAAATTAGTTCCAGATTCTAAAATAGTACCCCTGGGAACTACTTCAGCCCATGCTAAAATAGTATGAGGACTAATTTGGCATTTTCATAGACTCTAAGACTAAAATGGACCCGCTTAAATAATAAAGGGACTATTTTAAGTGTTGCTGAGATGAGAATGCTTAGGTGGATGAGTGCTTTGACACTTAGAGACAAAATATGAAATGAATATATCTGTGGTAGAGTTGGTGTGCTCCGATAGCAGACAAGATTAGAGAGAGTCATTTTAGATGGTTTGGTCGCATTAAACGTCGACTATCTGATGATCCAATTAGAAGAGTAGACGTTTTAGATTAGACTTATATGAAGAAAGGTGGAGGTGGACCTAAAAAGACTTGGGCATATTGTATAAAAGATAATCTTAATCTATTAGAATTAAATAAAAATATGACACTAATGGAGAAAAAGGATTCATGTAGCCGACCCCACATGGTGGGAAAAAAGCTTCTTGTTGTTGTTGTTGCATTCAAAAAAAAAAAAAAAAAAAGAGATAAAGAATGGTTCTAACATCGCTCATGTCAAAAACCATCACCAATGCTGCTAATTGCTTGGAAGCCAGCAACCTTTGTAAGGATATCCCATCATCAAGATGGGCTGTCCATATGGAGAGTTCTGCAGAGTAATACTTGGTCTCAATAGTCCACCTGCAAAGACAAATTATATAGGTAGGCATCAAATGTTGCCTATCAAGGATACAAGACTAGTACTTCTATCTCCCAAAATTACTTACCCTTGACAAAATATTCCTGAAGATAAGTTAGATATATCTGGAATATCAATTGAAAGTAACCCTGCAAGCAGAATAACATTCATGGTGAGGTTAAGAAATCAGAACAACAGCGGTCTCCGGTGTGGTCTGCACATGATTATTCAAACAAAACATAAACAAAAGTACAGATATGATATTAAAAGAAAGATCAAAGTTACGATTTCATTTTCATAATAACAATCGCAGCAGGAAATTTCATGAAATGATAAGAGATAAATTTCTTGGACTTTCAAAATAGGCTATCATGAATTATGATGTAGGAAGATCTACACACATATCACTTAATTCTTATCTATTTACATATCTAACAGCTAAAGTTCAATTTTTACATACACACCGCCTTACTTATGAATAAAAAAGGTGTATTTAACCTTTTAAAAGTTAAAATGGTGGTAATTTTTTATGTGACATGAAAGATTTGGGTGGTATAAATCTAAAAAGCAAAGTTTAGCTGTTAGATATGTAAATACATAAAAATTGGGGGTATGCATGTAAAATGCCCTATGATATAAAGTCTGTGTAATGGTGCCTGAATGCCAAAAATAGTATTCTTGTATGGTCCTCTGCAAAAGTTTAAAAGTTCAAATTATAGGAATAATCTACCATCATTTTTTAGTGCAAAAGGCCCATTCACCATAGATTCAATCGAGATGATGAAATATTTATGCAAAAATCAAGGATGCTAACGTTGATCAATAATATAAGCACACAATGAGATCAAATAAATAACATTAATTAAAGGTAATGACCGGTGATCAAATAAGATAATAGTCAAGTTAATGAAATCATCCTATGACTAACCCAATTCACCTCAGTAATTTTCTCTCAACTTTTAATATGATGCTAAACTCTCAACATTAAGACGGAAGTTCTGAGTGGCTCTAGAATGCAATCATATAAAACTTTCTATAGGCATTTTAATGACCTAACAATCAAATAATAATTCTCTAGTGTATTTTCTTATTGTAGAAGATGTTTTGCATTAACTTTAACTAAGTATAGTTTATAATTAATGGTCTCTTGATCATAAATTTAATTAGAATATCCTGACAAACCATTAATTGGGCATTCTATACTTTATAATTAATGGTCTCTTGATCATAAATTTATAAAAACAAAAAGCTGCCACTATGTTATGTTTCTTGATAATTTCAGACTCAAATTAGGTTCTAATTATAATATTAACCTAAATTAGATATAATTATTATTAGTTAGTTTGTCAATTTAAAATTGGATTGACTGAGTAATTAGAACCATCAAAATAACAAACACAACTTTTTGTATAACCTATATGGTTTGATCACTCCATACATAAATATATATTTATTTGAGGTATTTCTATATAATATGATATGTTATTACATAAAAATATATTTCACTGAATCATTTCAATATAAGACATAATTTTTGTCACAATTTTGACAATTCTTAGATCATCTAGAGTTCAAATTAAACAAAATGATGAATAGCTACTGAGAATAAAACAAATATGAAAGTTATATCTAAAATATTGAGTGATGAACAATAAATCTAAATATGAGAAAGTTATTAATTTGTTGATTATAATTATACAAAGTTTACTATAATTAAAATATTATTTATTGGTGATTGATTGTACATAGCATTATTTTCAATGAATGCTAATATTTAGCTAATTTCATTTATTAGTGCATGAAAGGGAATTTTCTTTAATATTGTTATACAGATGGTTCTACATAAACAGGTACCATGAAGGATATGTATAAAACACAAAATACTCATCATCATGATGATGATGATATGTTATGAATGATTCTACAAAATTCATGTTTTGACACATTAATAAAGGAACACTATATGTTTTGTTCTATGTGCTCATACTATACGTTGGGTAATACTACATGATCCTACATGAACATATTTTCTATATGATTATATTTGAAGAAATGTAAATGATACTACATTGATTACTCATACATAGATTTATATGTTCATAGCATGATTCCTAATAATTAGTATGATTATTATGCAAATTTATGCATCAGAATAAGACATAGAATGCTGACATTATTATTTTTTTTAACGGATGATGTATATGTCCAATTTGCATGTTAAACAAAGCAAATGATTATTACCATGAAATTATTTTATTTTTTATGGAAGACAAATTATCACATGAACATATTGTACAAAGACATGTTATAAAATTATTTAAGTCACGATACTACTATATGTTTTCTTTTTATTGCTTTTCAAAAAATTTTATGATGTGAAATTGCTTTTATGAACTTGGTCTACTAAAAAGCTATTGTCTAACTTTTCACACACACAAAACTTATAATATCCATAACAGTTTTCAAAAAAATTATTTTCTCCATAACAACTTTACAAAATAACTACAGCCACCCCTATGGATTCTTAATATACAAATTTATCACAACAACAAAAAAAAAAAAATCAAAATTTATCCAAATCAAAATAGCTATGGACTGCCATTCAAAGGTTCAGTTTTTTTGCCTCCCAATTTCAACTGACAAGAATCTAATAAAACATTTATCTACACTGAAATCCTGATGACGTGATCTTTAATCGAAATGGTTTGAACTAAAAATCAACACCATTAACAGTCTCAACCAAGTAATCAAACTATTTAAATTTGAACGTTCATGATGCTTTAGATGTTCCAAAGATGTCATGCCAAAATCATAAATTATGGATGATTTGATTACCAAATTTCTATCAACAACCTCACTTCTATAATTAGTCTTTCCAAAATCAAATAATCTATAACATTTCCTAAGAGCCTTGAATTTTTTTCTTTTCGCATTTAATTCTTGCAAACAAGCAATATTTATTCTTATTATAATCACCAAGTACATCAATTCTCTTGCCTTTTAACTTGAAGTCCTCAAATGTCATGTAGCAAATCCAAATTAAGGGGAATGTGTGTCATGTGAATTTAACTAGGATTTAACCAGAATTTAGTGATTATTTGTGGTTGCATAATTTAGCCAAAATTTAGGGTAAAACTTCCAAAAGAAAATTTATACATGTTAATCCTATTACCTTCTTCAATCTCATTTTGGGCCAAATCATGGACTTAGTAAATTTAAATCACTTCGCTATATTATGCATCAACTTTTCATTTATTAAAATTCAAAATTTTGAAAATGCCAGTCAAATAATTTACTAGGAATTAACTAGAAGTAATATCAATTAATTCAAACAGAATTTAATGACTAAGTATGGATTTATAAGATTTACTAAATCTTAATTAAACAACCCACCCACAAAGTAACTGTTACAAAACAGATTTCTAGGGTATGTAAATCCTACTATTTGCTTGAATCTGAGCTGTTTCTCCTATTTGGATTCTCATGGGATTTGATAGATCCTAAACTTGAGTGAATTATGCAATGTTATTCGTGTTTCGGCTCCTCCTCTGCTCCTACTCCATCACCGTGAAATCCTCTACCCTTCTTCACATTCTCATCGCTATTTTGCTGTAGTCCTCACAGGTAAACCTAAATTACCTAGCTCATATTGTTCTTGCCTCATCTTCGCCATGATCTCTACTGTTCCCTGTCAAGACCCATGAATCCAACATAAACAATATTTGACAAATAATACAACCCCAAAACTCGCCACTAAGTAACTTATCTGTCTCCTATTATTTTGGATCGACTTCCAGTTTTCATTGCCGCCAATGTAAAGCTCTCCTATTCAGCACAGGCCCATAAGGAAAGTAGTAACGACAACCTTATTTTGATCGGTTGTCATCTTTTTCCACAACCCAATCACAAAATTATGAGATTATTACTGATATAAATCTAAGGAACGGATCTGAGAGTGAGGGGCTGAGTGAGAGAGAAAATTAACTAGAGAGAAGTGTTCTCTTGCCGATGTTGGGGCAGCCGATGAGGAGGACACCAGGCTTGCTCTGAGGAAAGCCGACAGCTCCTTCTTCCTCTCCGTCCATCTCTCTCCCCATCAATAACTAGAGATTTAACCCTAATCCCGATTTCCTTTACGTAGTCTGCTTAAACTGGGTGGGTAAGAGTCGTTGGTTAGAGGAGCCACGCTTGCCCGAACTGGCCGGGCCCTCAGGAGTTTGGCCAAGAGTTGGGCTTTTTTCAGCTTGGGTTAACCCAACCCACACATCATTAAATTATATTACAAAATTAGGGAATAATTTCTCAACATTCAACCTTATAAGAAAAATGTGTGCATAAGAAGATACTTATAGGCTTATGAGTGTATTCTAATTTAAGTATTTTGCTATTTAGCACTAATAAATTTAAATTTTCAAAATTTACATGTAACTTCTTAAGATATCAAATATATTGTTTTCATATTCTTATCATATGCATGTAAAAAGCCCTAATTATTGTCATTTCTCCTTCCCATCCAACATCACCTAATCTAATCACCTCTCCCTTAATTTAATGATTTCTTGAAATCATATGTTTATTACTTATTATTATATTTTCATTAACAATGCATATAATTTTTAAGAAAATCATAGTGTTGATAACCAAATTGAGAGAAATCGGAAAAGTTAAGCTTACGATAGGATTTTGTTTCTTAAGTTAGAAATGTGACCATAGAATAATCAAATCGAGGGAAGAAACGATGGAAATAAAAAATGATAGAGATGAAACAAAATATATACACGAATAGCTTTACAATGCTTAAAACATCATGAAGATGAGTGGTGTGCTTGTTCTATTCCTATCTAAAAGTGCTTCATGAGCATATTGATTCAAAAGCAAAAGGGTTCCTAACTCTTGGATTTGATCTTGGAGGAACTCTATTATGAGAGACCATAAGGGCACCTAGTAGATAAAATCTTCTCTATGAACATCCTTAGAGGCTTATTATCTCATAAACTTCACGCAAACATGTTCACGATAATGGTAAATAGATATTATTTAACTATAATAAAGTGAAGAATTGATGGTACTTATCTCACTGAAGAATCAATTCATTCACTATTGTTATAAGGATTTTACACTAAAATCATTGATATTAAACACCATAATCAACCTTAGCAACTCAATATCAATCTGAAAGGCACATAAAGGGCTTAAATTTTTCTAGTGCCAAATTAATATTAAATTTAAATACCATTATAGAAAGTTTGGGGACCATTATCCTCACAATCATAAGAGGGCAATTTCCTAATAAATTATCTATTAAAGCATGAGATATACAAGTTAGCAACAAACAATCAAACATCAAAACTCTAGAAAGGGCAGAACATTATCTTCCACTTTGAATCATAAGATTCAGCAACGATCAGCCGAACATCTAAACTCTGAAAATGATAAAGCATTTTCTTCCTCATTAAATCATGTTTTTAATGATATGAAAAGATCACCTTATGACTTGGGCTATCCTCCAAATAATCATGCCTAACTTGCTAGTCCAATTCTGGTCTCAAATACATCTTTTAAATAAGATTTTCGTACATCCCACTCAATAATTTTGTATTAACATATCAAACACAAACTTCAATATTTCCATACATGTCACCTTTCCTATATATGAAAAGGTTTAGTTCACATTTAAAAAGCTTAAATATTTTTTATGCAAAATGAATGATTTGGGTGGCATAAATATATAAATTGAAGTTTAGGTGTTATACATGTAAATGCGTAAGAATTGGGTGGTATGTTTTAAATGCCCCTTTTTCAATATTTCAAACTCATTTTAGACATTTTCAGGCTCTAGTGAACCCCCATCTGAAATAAGTAGATTCAATTTATTCTAACTATAACATAAATTCCAAACAATTATTCACATATCAAATTCACCATAAACTAAATCTAGTCATTCTAATTTGCAAAATGAACCAGAAATCCACACAATGCAATTTCACATACGACAATGTTGGCTTTCTAACTTAAAAATAACAGCATCTCCACAACAAAACAACAAAAGATGAAACAAAAATAAGACATAAAATTCATCAGAACATAAGAGCAAAAGTTACGAAACTAACTAAATCTCACAAATGTAAAATGAATACAACACCACTAAAAGCATAGAAAACAACCTGCAACCTCCATAAATTTTCATCAACCTTATTAGTATTTTAGCCCTGCAGCTTCTCTTTCTTCCTCTCTTCCCTATCTTAACTTCTTCCATCAAACTCTCATCCATTAGTGGCAGGAAGCTGCTTTGCCTGCAGCTTTTGCTTTGCACCCACGGCGAAGAACTCCGTGATGACCTCGAGAGGCATTCCCTTTGTCTCGGGCACCTTGAGGAAGACGAAGATGAATGCGATGACGCAGACGATGGCGTAAATCCCAAAGACGCCGGCAAGGCCGATGCTGTTGAGCATGACGGGAAGGGAGTAGGTGACGATGATGTCGCCAATCCAGAAGACAAGAGCGCAAATGGCGATGCAGACGCCACGAACCCGAGTGGGGAAGATCTCCGCGCAGAGAATGTTGGGGATCGGGCCGAATCCCATGACAAAGCAGCAGAAATAGGCGATGACGCTGATCGTGGAAAGGACGGCATGAACTACGGTTCCGAGTTCGACAAGATTGGCGATGATTAGTACGAGTAGCGAGCAAATGAGGATGGGAATGGTGGAGAGGAGAAGAAACCTGCAAGATAGCAATGAAAGTAAAAGAGTTGTCGCAGGATCATTTGGAGAAGAAAAAAGGAATCATTAGATGTTGCTTGTTTTGATTGTGCTGAAGTTGAATTGAAGGTGGGCGTTCTGTCGAATGTTCATCAATGGAACAATCTGGCCACTTAATCAAATTGTTCTAAGAAATGATGATTTTGGTTTCATGGATTTTGAATGTTAGTGTTTATTTTAATCCACTTTTGAAAGTGTGTTCATTTTTACCCTATATTTTTTGAGGTGTTCACTTGCCCCTTAAAGTGGCCAAATTTAAACCAATTTGGTTCTACGCAAATTTTATTCTCTTTGTAAACATTAATGTAAAAAACTTTTCATGAAGGCATTTTGAACTTTTTAAGGTCAATTTCATTAGTTTGATACGATATTGTGTTAAGATTGATCCTTAAAAAACATAGGGAAATTTACATACATACCACACAATTCTTTTATATTTACACATGGTGTGATAATCTTATACATGAAAAAGAAGTATTCACCTTTTTAGAAGTAGATGATAGTGGTATTGTCTACGTGATATTAAATATTTGAGTGCAATGCATATAAATTTTAAAGTTTGGGTGTTATGTAAATATGTAAAAATTGTATGGTATGTATGTAAATGCCCCAATAATATAAAATGCAGATTAATCTGGTGGTTGATGATCAAGCACATTGTGCATCAAAACGAGTGTTCTAACTTCAACCAACCAAACTAGGCTTTAGGCAATATTTGTGGGTTGCGGGTAAACAATGCAAAACAGAAGCATAACAAGTTGAAGAGGGAAGGAAGATAAAACCTTCTCCCAGATATATCCATCAGTCTCATGGCAACACCTATAGAAGGGAGCATCAACAGAGTAGTGAGAGAACTGATGAGGATGGACGATGAATCGGAACTAAGCCCGAGGTTTTTAAGGAGCACTGCAACGCCTGCTTGCTCGAGAATTTGAGGCGTGTAATACAGGACACCGTTTATGCCAGAGAACTGCAGAAAATAGAGAATTTCATAATTGAAATACAAAAACAGTGAAGTGATAAAAAAAGACCCTGACTATTACATGGGATCATTTTAGTCCCAGAATTTATCAAAATGTCAAATTAGTCCTCCGACTCTTTTAATATGGGTTGAAATAATCCCCATGCTGGACTACTTTAGCCCTCGTGAAAAACATTTGGAGACTAATTTGACATTCCTTCAAACTCTGGGACTAAAATAGTCCTCTAAATAGATTCAGGGGACCTTTTTGATAATTTTCTCAAAAATAATATAACAGGCAGGTTATTCATTCTACTTTCACATGTTGAAAAAAAATTTTAAAATTGCATAGCTCAACTCAACAAAAAGATGCAAGTTTATGGATATTATTTATACAACCTAAAATAATTGTGAAATCTTTTTTATTAGTCCAGAGCTGCCTCTAATACTGGTTAGTACTCCAAGATTGGCATCTTCAATTACACTAGAATACCTTCTACACTTTTTCTCATCACTAGAACTTAATTATCTGTTTTTTTTTCCAAATTATAAGGTCATGAACGAAAAAAATGCTCATAACAAACAAAGAAAAGTATCACCTGTTGCAGAAGCTGAATACCAACGCCAACAATCAGTGCCTGTTTGACACCTGGTTCAAGAAGATCTGCCCACACAGAACCTTCAGCAACAGCTTCCAATGGATGCACCATTGCCGGCCCAACCGGGTGCTGGTCCACCAGCTCCTTCGAGTAAAGCGCGGGCTGACTCACCAATGCAGCAGCTTGGATAAACTCATTCTCTTCTCCCACTTCTTGCCCTGGAACTTGAACAAGCGAACCCCTCTTTGAGCCCGGCACACCCTCTTGGTGCAGATAGATCCTTTTAAACCCTCCTTCCTTAATCCCATCCCGCCCCTCTCGCTCCGTCCATTTCCACGCCAGTTGCCATCCTCCACCAATCCCCATACTTCCGACGGCCTCCGCGCTTTCCGGAGCAGCGTGCGGAGTTACATTGTCCTTCGCTTCCATCTCTGTTGCCTGACGAGAAAGCAGCGGACTCTGTAAATTGTCTTCACCGTCACTTCCCGATGCATCCGATACATAGTCATTACCCTCTCTATGGCCAGTTTCTTCATCCCACTGATCGGTTTTCGGCCCCGCAACACTAAACATGCTGCCGAAGTTAGGAAATAATGTGCTTCTCATGCTGCCCATCTCAGTGACCGGGAGTTTTTCGTGGACGCTACCAAAGAGGGTGACGAGAGGATCCATAAGAGGAATGTTACTTGGTCTTTCCAAGCTGCTTCCATGGCGAGAAACGGCACCGAGGGCGCTGCCGAGGATGCTCTGCCCCTTTATGGGGCGAGCAACCCATGAAACACCTTCTTCAGGCCCGTAGAGGGTGATTTGTTCCTTGTCACCATTCTGTTCTTGTTCATCGCTGATCTCATTAGCAGGGCCTATGATGTACTCCTCGATCGAAGTATCTGCACCAACGCCCAGACCTTCGACGAGAAGAGCCATTTCTCCTGAATGTAAAAAAATGCTGGGTTCATATGTAAGCATTCTAGCTCCTACATTTAAACTTACTAACAGAATAAAAATAGAGAAGGCATATTAGATAGAAGCAAATTGGAAGAGATTTAGTTAAATTTGTAAATGAAAACACAACACAGATGGTTGACACATAACATTGAGGTAGAGATATCCTACAAACATATGACTAAGAGTGTAAGTGAACCAAGCCAAATCGTGAGCCAAAATGTACGAGTAGGAGTGTAAGTTAATCAAGTCAAATCGTGATCCAACTCAGGCTTGACTCGATAAATGGCTCGTGAGCCAAGCTCGATAATTAAACCAACCTTAACTTGACTCGTTACCTCACTAACTAGTTTGCTTAAAAGAAATGGATATAAATATACTTATAGTATATCAAAATTATAATAATTTAAGTATCAAGTTGATAAAATATAGGAAAAATTACATACATAGCACCCAATTTCTATGGAGTTACCTATCTCACACTCAAAGTTTCATTTTTTACACACACGGCACTTTATCTATGGATGAAAAGATGAATTTGACTATTAAAATGTGATAATGAGTGCTACTTTTCATATGATGTTTGTAATTATAATTCATATGATGTTTGTAATTATATAAAAGTTTTGGCGTGAGATAGATAAATATGTAATTTTTGGGTGCTATGTATGTAAAGCCCCTAAAATATATCTCACTTTCTAAAATCAAGTATTTATTACTATTTTTTTAACTTTCCATTCTTTTATAATTTTATTAAAATAATTAATTAAATTATAATCATTTTTCTCTTTCATAGTAAACAATTGATTTAACTCAATCTCAAAAAATTAAGCCTGAACTCAAGCTCCAACTCAATTAGGGGTGGGATGACTCGAGCTCGGCTTGACTCGTTTACACTGCTCCGCGTGCTCATTAGGACAAAACATGATATTCATCTCTTTTCAAATATCATATTTAGCCTGTCATAAAATGGAAAAGGAACATTCCTAATCCTTGCATAAGTCAAAGATTCACACCTAGTGATCACAAAAGTGGTCTCAAACAAAAAAAAATTAAATAAAGAGAAAAAAAGGTCACTGAAAAAATTAAGAGAAGTTGAATCCCAATTTGTCAGATGACCATAGCATATGCTACTCAACGACAATAATTAAACTAGAAGTCTCTTAAGTACCAGAAAAACAGTTCAAATAAAACATAGCACAATCTGGGAAAAACAATAGTCTTCAAATCTAGAATAAGGGCGGGCAAAAGAAAAACATAATAATAACATGTGGTGAAAGACAGTTTTCATCCTTCAGATAAAGATTAAATACTGTTAGAACCACAAAATTATGCATATCTATATAAAAATTATTATAAGAGAGGCTGAAAACGTTCGCAATCAAAACATAATCATCGTCATTATGACCATCATAATCATCATCATCCCCATATTAACAATTTGAAGTTTTTGTGAATCCTTCGCTTGCATGCAGTGGTGTTAACCCTAATTTGCATAAATCCAACTTCTTCTAGCTATGCTAACTTAGGCAAATTCTTTTTCTTTCAATTGTTCCGCATTAATATTGTTTCCTTCCTAAGTTGATACAACTTTAGCACTTCACTTAAATGCTCAAACAACAACAATCTATTTTCTAATGATATCTTTAGTATATGCAACTTCTGAACACTCTAAAACTGATTTCTCAAAGGGAATCACAAAATTCTTACTTATTTACATCTCACACCAAAATTTCCATATTTACATACATATCACTCTGATGCTTTAAAACTATGCATGAAAAAGCGGATTTCACTTTTTAAATGTGCTAATAATACAATTTTTTATGTGATATTAAAGATTTGAGTAAATATGAAAGTTTAGGTGCCCGATATGTAAATACATAAGAATTGTGTGTTATGATGTAAATGTCGCCATTGTCAAAATCCGTTAAGAGTTTATCTCACATCTAGTATAGCATTCTCAATATTGTTGTTGTGAAATATCGAAATAAAATAAAAGAACAATTTTTTTATGAAAGCGAAAAAATAGAACGAGAAAATTCACACGAAAAAATAATAACACAACGGAACACACAGATTTACGTGGTTTGGCAAATTGCCTACGTCCACGAAGTTGCAGAGGATTTTATTACTTAAGTAATATACACTAGTCGATCGTATCGATTTACAAGAGGGATCCCTCACTTCTTTGCTCTCTCTTCTCTCTTTACACCGAGACACACCGAAGAAGATAAACTTACAAGAAAAATAAACTCAATTTCTTTTCTGTCACAATTCACCAAGAAGAAGCCAAAGGAAAATAATCTTCTTTTTACTTCTTCCTTTTGCTGTAAGGAACTACTGCATGCACTTCTCTTCCTCTATCCCGATGAAGCCCAAAGAAGAACACCAAAAAGGTCGTTTCGTAAACTAAATATGAAGGAGAACCGCTCCTTTTATTGTGAAACAGCAGGGGAGAAGGGATGCTTCGTTTTGCGACAGAAGAAGGCGGGAGCAGTTTCTCTGTTAGCGAAAATGGAAGGCGCGACGATTCGCGAACGGGAGCGGGAGCGGGATCGTGGTCATAACAGAGCGGGAGCGGGAGACGGGTTGGGCGTTATTTGAACCAGGCTCCAAACAACAAATCTCCCACTTGGAGACCGGTACACAGACCACAATGCTTTCTTCCTCAAACTGATATTCTCCACTAGCGGCGTCACATTTTTCTTCAAATATAAATCCTCCACCTCTGCAACTCAAATCCTCTTCACAACAGAAGATCAACTGAAGTTGTGCACAACTGAAGTTTCTCAAGAGTAACACCCTTAGTCAGCATATCAACAGGGTCCACATAGTTTTGCACCTCCAAGTTATTTCTTAGGTTACTCTTTTATCTGCTTAGAACTCTCACTGCATGGGCAATATCCTGCATCTGCTGAAAGTCTTTTCCAACAAGTCTAGCCTTGTACCTCTTACTGTCATCATGCTCAGTCTTCACCCGGTACACCCACTTGTTATGTAAAGTCTTCTTCTCTAGTGGAAGTTCTGCAAGCTCTCACTTGCTCAAACTTTCATCTTACAAGATTTTTTCATAGCTCTGTGGTTCTTCATCATCTGTCTGTGGAACAATAGGAATAAGTACCCCGGACTCACTCTCATTTTCACTTCCATCATCAATAAAAATATGAATTGTCAGCAATAGTGCATCATGTACTTCTTCAGATACCACATTTGTGATATTATTCTTCATATTCTTGAGATTCTTGCAGTTCCTCTAGCGAGTCTTGCCACAATTCCAGGAGGTTGTCTGCTGACCAAACTTTGATTTTGATCTCCCTCTATTTGAGTTTATGTCCTACCATCTCCCTCTGAAATCAACATTCAGTGTCAAACTTGAACCTGAGATCTCGCCAGTCTCGCCAGTATCTTTCCTGCACCTTTCCTGCACACCTCCTCAGTCAAAATCAAATCACGAATATCATCACATTTCAGTTTAGATTTACCTGCAAAAGTGTTACCGTGATCCTCATGACTTCCTAAATATTTGACAATGATGTCAACAATATCAGCACACGTATCTCATCATCAAAATCAATTTCAAGAGAACAATTGATTTGTGATAGTATTGAAATGATTCAGGTGCTGAGCAACAGAACACCTTCCACCATCTTCAAGTTCAATAACTTTTTCATCAAGTATACTTTGTTATTCGTCAATGATTTTTCATACATACATGATAAGGCTGTCATGAGATCTGCAGTCGACCTCTCTTTGATGATGTTATGTGAAACAGATCTCAATAGGGTCAATCGAATAACCCCCAAAACTTGTTGATCAAACAAATTCCTTTCAGCCTAATCCATCATTTCAGGCATTTTCCCCAATAACGGAAGATGAAGTTTCTTCTTATAGAGGTAGTCTTCATCTGCATCCTCCAATAACCAAAATTTATCATCAAATTTCTTGATCTCTGAAATCTTTACTTCATCTGCAGTCATCATTCTTCCTTAGATCTGAAACACGACTCTGATACCAATTATTGTGGTATATCGAAATAAAATATAACAATTATTTATGAAAGCGAAAAAAATAAAACGAGAAAATTCACATCATAAAACAGTAACACAGTGGAACAAACAGCTTTAAATGATTCGGCAAATTGCTTATGTCCACGAAGTTGCAGATGATTTTACTACTTGAAGAATATACACTAGTCGATCGTCTCGACTTATAAAAGGGATCTCTCACTTCTAAAAACAGTAACACAGCGAAACACACAGATTTACGTGGTTCGGCAAATTGCTTACGCCCACAAAGTTGCAGAGAATTTTACTACTTGAGGAATATACACTAGTCGATCGTCTGGACTTACATGAGAGATCTCTCACTTCCTTGCTCTCTTCTTCTCTCTCTACACCGAGATACACATAAGAAGATAAACTTACAAGAGAAATAAAATCAATTTTTCTTCGATCACAAGCCACCAAGAAGAAGAAGGGAGAACAATCTTCTTCTTCTTTCTTCTTCCTTTTGTTGCAAGGAACTACTGCTTCCACTTCTCTTCCTATATCGCAAGGAAGCCCGAAGAAGAGCACCAAAAAGGTTGTGTCGTAAACTAAATCTGAAGAAGAGCCGCTCCTTTTATCGTGAAACAACAGGGAGCGAAGGGATGCTTCGCTTTGCGGCAGAGAAAGGCGAAAAGAGTTTCTCTGTTCACGGAAGTGGGAGGTGCGACGATTCGCGAACAGGAGCTGGAGCGGGAGCGAGAACCAAAATCTGTGTCATCAAATTTCTCGATCTCTGAAACCTTCATTTCATCTGCAGTCATCATTCTTCCTCAAATCCGAAACACGACTCTAATACCAGTTGTTGTGGTATATCAAAATAAAATAGAAGAACAATTTTTTATGAAAACGAGAAAATTCACATTAGAAAACAGTAACACAGCAGAACAGACAGATTTACGTGGTTCGGCAAATTGATTACGCCACGAAGTTGCATAGGA